CCCCCGCCCGCACTTAAGTGATCAACCGTTCTGTCAAAGTAAACAAATCAATTGTCAGAGTGTTGACAAAATAATAAAAATGAAAAATTGTGATTCTCAGGAGATGAATCTGTGATACATGTGAATGATGATAGTTTTAGAAAAGGCGCATTGAGATATAAACTGTATCATTTTATTAGTGATTGTTGGGAAAAATGAAAGACATTAATTATGTAGATGGATCTACTCGATCAATTGATACGTCCTCAACGGCAATAAATCTTGAAATTGATGTCTCGCGAAAGAGATACCCATTTTGTATAGTTTGGACACCAATACCCATTCTCACGTACGTTCCACTGTTGAAACACAAATCATCAAAATTATATTCACATTGTAATTATGTTGATAATAGGTATTTTCTACCATTCATTGGACACATGGGTATTGCAACATCTGCCGGGATCATCCGAGATTTCGCTGGCCCTTACCATGTCTCTGAAGATCAGATGGCTTTCGGTTGTCCGACAAAATATTGGCAATTGAATCATTTATTAGCAAAAGGTGGTGCGGCAGGATGGGATAATGCTGTAACACAAGCTAGCGACATTTATAAAACCAGAATGGTTTGTAACGTTTCAACTTGCCGCCATATCTTGAGTTGTGTAGTAAATGATTGCTTCAACAAAATGGGATCTTTCAAAATTCATTTATTTATTCATTTTTCTTCTCTTAGCATAATTTATGCTGTGATAACTGCCATTCTCATGTTGCTACTGCATTGAACTTGATGGCATTCAACAATTCAAGCAAATGGAATATGATTAAATTGGCATTGCTCATGCTCATTCACGGAAAATATGTCAGGTTGATATTAAGCCATTTAATGAATTATTTTTATTTTCATAACATACATATATATATATAACAGATTATTTTATGATTACAGCTGGTCAGGATTCCTCAAAACATGGTTACCATTCTTCATTTTTATTGCAATTATTCTGACATATTGTCTAGCCATATGAATTAAAAACTAATTACAATTACTATGTATGCATTATTTGTTATAACCATTCCAATTGTCTTTACAGATTTTCTTTAGGAGGGTTTTTTTTTTTTTTTTTTTTTTTTCATAGTAACAACAGGCATCATAACAACAAGAAAAATAAAAGAGGAATTCCAGTAAGTGGGTAATATCTATACCGTATTAATTGTAATAAGATACCAGAGGATTTGTAAAAATTGAAAGAGAAGCTGGAGCAAAGTTATTATTCGGTGCTTGTTACCATTTCATTGATTACACTAGTTTCTAATGAGAAATCATAATCATAGTCCTCGCTTTTAATCCTCAATATAAATGAGAAAATTTCATCAGCGTGTAGTCTGTCAATTTCAATATCAGTTTCAAATGTTTTGTTCAATTGAAATTTTATACAGTGCAAATATCTCGGTGCATCACACAAAATGTCCATTTGAGAAATGTTGGATGAAAGTGTTGATGCATTGATGGATTGATCTTGAGGAAGAAAGGGATATAGACCAAATGATTTAGTTGATGTATCATTTCCATGTCCTCCTACAATTGATGAAGGTGGATTTGTCTGCCTTTCTACGAGTATGTAATCATCGATATGACTAGTTGATGAAGATGCTTCTTCACCCGAATCTGGCGGTGAGTCTCTGACTTTTTTCCTTCCAAATAACCACGACATGGCTTACTAAAATAATAATGCCAATATTGTTTATTCATGAAAAATAAATCATAAGGGAGATGGCTTAACCTCAAAATTATCACCCCAAATTCACATTTGCAGAGAGTTAATTTTTCTTTGATATTCTTTTCAATAATTATGCTATTAAAAATCTTGAAATATTTCACATCATATCCATTATTTCTGTAATTATTGTTGTTAATAGAATTGATCCCGCTGTTAAATGTAAATATGACGCATGAGCAATTTTTTTTCCACAACCTAACTCTGATCCGTCAAATCGCGAAACTACATTAGTTTTTACAAAGATGCGTATAAAAGAGTAGAAATAAATGAACAAAAAAAGAATAAGCGCGTATCATACCTGTTTTCAAAGTCAAAAACACAATCCCAATTATATTCAACTGGATTCTTGGGTGGTTATAGAATTTTTGTGTTCACATTCAAGTTCCGAGTTTTTTTTTTATACCGTAAAATTTTTGTTGATTGTCTTTTCAATATCCATAGATGTTTATGATAAGTCCCGCTCCTCTATGAAACGAAAGAAAACTAAATGAATTCCACAAAAAGGATATTCACAGATTAAGCATGTAATTTGAAAAACAAAAATAATAATAAAATAAAATAAAAAAAATTAACAAACTGTCCAACTCAACTGACTAGTCCGTTCTCTTGGTTTTCAGAGGGGTGGGAGATGTGGATGTGAGTGAGAATTAGGTAAAGTGGGAGTAGCCGACCGAAGGGAGAAAGGAAACTGACTTGACTAGTCAGTTTGCCATTCGCCTGTGTAAAACTACGTGAGCCAAGTTTGAGTTGGTGTGTGTTCCCTAGTCCCTACATGTAGTATATTCTACCATCTAGCACAATCTGTAGTGTTATATGGTTGATGAATCCGAAGTTGGTTGGAATTGACCCTGTGAGCTTAAAAGTAATCTCATGATTCAAGTAGCTAATTAAATTCATTGGGAATAATATCGAGTACAAGTTGTTGTGTAGAAACATAAATGTAAATTTAAAAAAAAAGAGGGGTAAAAAATGACTAGTACAAGAAGCAAAAACTATTATGTATCCCCAGTGACAAATTGCTCCAATGATCCACTGCATTTTTTAATCGCTAATGAGAGACAATAAGTTAGAGTGAACAGCATATAACGCATGCGTAATCTGGTAGTGGGTGGTACTAGTGTGTTGACTATTTTGACGAAATAAAAACGGAAAACTACATATACAATGTCCATTGAATTGAATATTGAAGTAGAAAAAAAGTGAAACCCGGAATACGATATTGCGTATCCAGAAAATTTAACATTATAGTGAAATATAAGTGTGAAAAAATATGATTGTGAGATACGGGTTTTCGTGGCTTTAGATTCTCCACGAATGTACACTCTCGTTTATAACCTATATAATAATGGCTTGGTAGATATTATTAATGGCAATATTCTCACAAATTAGGTTATCGACTCAACTGTAATATAAAACAGTATGCGCCCGTAAACTGAATATTCAAATTTCATAACTATACCATAGTTTTGTTTTTTTTTCTTTTTTTTTTTTTTTTCAAGAGGAAGCAATAACAACAGACGTAGTGATTGATACCGTTGACAGGTATTGTGTTATGTATGNTTTTTTTTTTTTTTTTTTTTTTTTTTTTTTTCAAGAGGAAGCAATAACAACAGACGTAGTGATTGATACCGTTGACAGGTATTGTGTTATGTATGTGATTTGAAGTGTAGCCCATTATCAAGTTTAAATTGTCATTTAACTTGAGGACTGCCTGCTTTGATCATCAATGATGAGGTAAACTTGAGTTTATCAATAGTAATAATTGTTTAAATTTCGTTTTATGCTGTCGATTTTCGTTTTCATTAGTTTCAAGCGTGTCTTGATCAATTGAAGATTTTGTTTCATACTTGACGGAAACAACGTAAGAACAAAAATGGTCGTGTTAGGAACTGACATGTATATTTTTTTATGTCGGTATATTCTGTAATCGTATATAAATTATTTGTTACGTATTTTTCGACAACAAGTGCCATCCAACACAATTTGCGTACTGGACGATGAATTCTAACCATCTTTATTGAATTTTTTCTATTAATTTATTGAGTCTAGTTGTTGTATCTGCTACATTATTCCTTGCACTTTCTCAAAGTCTAATAAAGACTTTTCCAAAATTGGTTCAAATATCAAAATATTGCTCTCTCTCTCTCTCTCTCTCTCTCTCTTTTTTTTTTTTTTACAAGTTAGATATCTTGATTTTCCTAAAGATATATGAAAGACCATTGTACAAAAGTTGTGAGTTGATACGATGTACAATCAAGATGAACAATCGAATTGATACATTTACAATGAAAGACAATTAAATGCTATATCATTATGAAGTCTACTATTTAATGCATGTTTCAAATTGTTACTTAAAAATATTTTAATAATTTTTTATGGGTGAAAGAAGAAATGAATATGGCGAGTAATTCTGATGCAAAAGTATAAATCGAAAAAAATAACATTAGCATGTAAACAAAAATTTTAGGCCACGTGGATGCATGTGACCAGCTGAAAAATTGCGGCAGCCTGTGTGTCGAAAGTGATTAGAAAAAGGTTGACAGGAGGGGGGGCAGGTGATAGATGCAGCTCATGGTACCGTAATAATTTTATGGAATCATGTCGAGCGAACCACCGCCGGCAAACACCATTTCAGTAAAAGGTGAGAAAATCAATAGCATGAATAGTAATACTCTGTATAATTCCTCAAATTATGGATATTTTCTAGTGTTATATGCCATGTTAATACTGGGCCAAAACCCAGAAAATCAATATAATTTAGAATTTTCATTTTTTTCAATTTCTCCTTTTTATAAGAAAAAAGAAAAAATAAGAAAAACACAGGAGCTTAAATGAAAAGATGGTTGCTTTCATCTCATACAGCATCGCATTTCCTTAAACTTAGTGAACTACCCTTCCAATGCATCACCACTGCTCACAAAAATTATGTAGGAATAATTTTTCTATATTATCTGTCATAATTGAATTGTTTTTCAGGTCAATAATATTCGTGACCATCATTATTCACTGTTGTCTAAACTTTCTTGATATATATTTCAAGTGGATTACATCTCTTGGAATTTTAAACTTTTGTCATACAATATAAAGGTAGAATTGTCATTGCACAATGACATTCTTACGCAATAATATGGTTAGAATATGCCAACGTAGGGTATATGACCATAGTGAGTTTATAAATAGAAAAACTTGGTTACGCAGCTCTCTGTGTATTTATGCGGATCTGTTACACAGATTTTACCTGTAAAGAGGCCACACTACTGTTAACGAACATATACAATGACACGTTTTTGTTTATCATTGAAAATCTACATTTTTAGAAAAATGATTACTTACATACGTCCAGTGGAATAACAACTCGGAATAATTGATTACATATTTTACTGTTATAATAATACAATTATGTTTACTTTATATACATTATTGAAGCAAGAGTATCACTGAATTTTGGTGTTCCCATGGCAGCATTAACCGCTTCTATTTATATAACATCACAGTTTCTTGTTTTTTTTTTCTTCTTATTTCCTCCATTCTTATTCTTGACTTTTAACTTTACAAATCAATAATAATATAATAATATCTTTACAACTTCTCCCAATCAGAGGAGAAATTATGTTTTATTTCGATATCTCTATGTTGCACACGAAGGAGTGATGCTGTGTTTCTTTTAAAATAATATTCGTTCTATCTATTCAACCACTCTCTGGGGTTTTTGATTTGAAAGGTCAAGGTTGTGGGTCGATGGTGGATTAACAGACGCAGGCGCTAACGACGGAGTATGTATTTTTTAGTCATATGTTGACATATACGACACCATGGTCAATTATCATTTTCATTTATGGAAATAATTTTCATTGATTTAATTTTTTTCCCTTAAAAGGTTTGTGAAATTTAATGGAGATAATGATTCTACTATAGGAGCATTTCTACTTTTTTCTTCTTTACTCATGAAATTTTGTTTATTGGTTCAGGTATATTAAAAAAAAAAAATCCACTACAATCGATGACAAAAATTTTCAACAACAAACAATAGTAAATCAATAGAAAATGGAAGAGTAAAAAGGCACTAACTAACCACTAACCTAGTCCAATGAATGAGCTTCTTGCATTTATGTTTTTTAAAAGGTCACCTCTAGTTTAGAAAGGGAGTGAAAAAAGTGTACTAGTGTAGGTGCTAGTTGATGACATAGGGATTCGATAGAACAACTAGTGAGCATAAAGATTATTTATAGGAACGGCAATCCTCACTACTCCGCTCCTCCCACGAAAATCTTGGTACTATAAATAGTATTCACCCGAGCCAAGCTCAGCTTGTTATAGCATTCTACCCACGCCCTCCCCAGTCAGTGGTAGTACGACGCGTGTACAAAGGCGGATAAGAATAGATGCGCGATCACACTGGACTTCAAGGGCTTTAAGTAAGTCTTGAAGTCGATCGACAACCTGTTTTCTTGGGCGCCAGAAATTCTCATCATATTGACCAACATATGATAGACCAAACAACATTTTACATACTTGATGAATTATTATTCCTCATAGAATTTAATCATTTATCAATTCTCACATTATCTGGAATGTATAAAGATTCATTTTCATACATTCTTATTGAGGTATATAATGAAATTATTTATAGGCAGTGGATCAATTGAATGGGTCACAAGGGAGGATCAATCAAAATGGTCATAATAAAAGGGTCAATATGCTAGCTCAAGTAGATGATCAATTAGTGGCCAGGAGAAGCAAGTTTGGTATTTGACTCACATGCAGAGAGACAAATACAAATAGATCTTAGTTACTATTCCTAAGCATAGGTCATTACCAAATTTAACACTACTTTTTTTTTTCTTCGAAATTTAAATAGTTTGCAATATTGTGCCTTTGGCAACATCCAATCATTAAGTCATACTCAAAAAATTGTAGAACCTTTGTGATGCTACTTATAATTTTTGGTGTCTGTATTTATAACTAGGGTGTAAAATATTGCGATTTTTAGTTGATGAAAAACGTTATTGTACTTTGACTTATTTATCCCTATATGACTATGCTTTTCCGGCATAATTGTTTGAGCATACCTATTGAAATATCCAAAATTTTAAAGCAAATATTTTTGTTTCTTCATATTCAAGAGTATTCCAATATTCCACGGCTAATTTTCCATTTTTTAATTATTATCATTGGTGACGCAATAAATGGTTATAAATAAACTTACGTGATAATATCAGTGATAACGGTCTACTCTTGAGTATTTGTGAAATAACTGTTGCGTATTCAGGAAACGTTGACGTTTCTAGATGAATAAATCCATTGTACAATGTGAATGCTTCGGGAGAAATTACGTAACGATTATCACAATGCCAATTATAAATTCTCTCTCTCTCTCCCAAACAATAAATAATAACATACATGTCCATATTGATATTAATAAGATATTCTATTGTTTAAGTTGAATGTAGATTGAGTTAAAAAAGAATAAGATTAAGAATGGAATAGATAGTAACGCAACAGATCAACGGGTTCTATACTCATTTCATTATACACGTTTTCTTTGTTTACTTCAATTCAAGAGCACCAATAACTTTAAAATTATGGAGAAAAAGAAGAAGAAGAGAAAAAGTGAAAAAAAAAGAAAATAAACAAACAAAACAAAAAAAATGTGCCAGCAGATGGGTAGGTGAGTTACTAAAAATATTGCTCGTACCTCATATCGAGCGATGAGATAAAAATAGACATATGACGATATGTATCCTGTCTGTGAGTTCGAAAACTTGCCTTGGTTAGAAATTGTATGTTACTTTCCCGATAGGTAGTGATACAATAAATGTGCATATTATTACGCGCCAATGAGAATATATTGTAGCAACCGAAAACAACACTTACTTGATCAATATAAAATTAATGATTTTCAGTTACGAGTCAAGTACTACTAACAAATGAATTCTCCATAGCTAACTTTTTAGTAATAATTATCAATTAACAATTCAATTTTTCAATTTTGTATTCTTCATTATATTGTCATGCATATAGATTGAGAATCGTCATGCCGGTATGATTGACGGAGTCAGGCAAGCATGGACACAACAAAGCCAGAGCAAGATATAAATAGAAACATTTCCTACCCCTCCCTCTCTCCCGCCCCCTTGACAGTACGCAATCCCCAATCCCCACTCTAGTCGCTGAATTACCTTATAGAAATCCCACACCGTGGCGCTAGTTGCATCTACCGCGCGCGAAAGGTTCACCGTGAAAGAGGCGAAGCAACTTACTCCACAGCAGTTATCGGTCATTCTTGTTCACAACCGACGAATAAACATAATACATCTACTGTACTATGTCTTTCTTTAAATGAAAATAATAACTTGTATTTATTATTATAAAATGTTTACGTACAATTGTGCAACACATGATATGATAATTAATGGGAGTTTTCCCTGACATTGCGAAAATAGTGAATCATTTTTGGCTGAATTTGTTTGAGAGAATATTACGATCAGTGTGTACGGAATCAACAATGCCCATACAAAAATTATCATGATATTCTTCATACACTAAACTAACTATAAGAATAAGTGTATGAAAATTATTATATACTACGTGGAAAGCAAAATCTTCAAAGTGTGAATTTTTCTTTTATTCGTTTATTCTATTTATCGACTACCACAGTGTCGCAATTAAAATTTGAGGTAAATTTCAAGTGAGAATGAAAATTTTCTATAATGAATATAAAGTGTGTATATGTTTTCCCAAAAAACGTGGAAAATTTTCAATCATGACAGCATGTCTTCATACGATAACAGATAATTGTTATTGTAGGCATAATCATTTTCCATGACCAATTGATTCATTGATGCTCATTGTTTTCTCTAAGATGACCGGCTGACATGCTTTAATGACAGAATCTTACCATGATAATTGCTGCCAATTAAATTTGGATAATCATTGAAGAACGGAAAAATAAAAAAAATCGTATTATAGGATTATTATCATGCACGCATGCATACATTGATGAAAATATAGGGGTATCCTATACAATTCTATGAGAGGTCGATGTTCTCAGGTACATACATAATAGTTTTAACTGGCTACCACCATTGTTGGTGGGTCGTTAAAACAGTTGCAGGGAGACAGCTATGTCGAAAACACCTGTTGTTTCGTAGAGCGTCCATATGTGTTTGTGAAGTTGTTTCACTATGATTCTAACGATTCTAGAGAGAAAAACTCTCGAGATTTCTCGAGTTTTTCCCTCTGCTCCCCCCTCCTCTATTTCTGGCCATTTACTAACGTCTTCAGCAATTTCTCACACCCGTTCAAATTACAACTCATATAAAAAAATTATTAAGGATGAATAATTATTTTTTTGGGAATTTTAAATTTTCTGTCTCTCCTTACACTCAACGACTCAACTCAAGTCTATTCAAAAAACTACTTTAACAGAATCAAACATTAATCTAATTTGTATTCTTATTGGTTCATTTTCAAATTATGACTGGATATGGGTAATGATTTTATGTTTGTAGAATGTGGCTTTCCACAACCTGATGAAGGTAAAATAATTGGCGAGAGGTCGTGGTATGACAATTAGATAAATGTTTTTTTTCCATTTTGTTCAATATCCCTTGAAATCGTTGTTGAATTTTATCCGGAAAATGAGATCAATGATATCATTAATGTGAATTTATATTATACATAGAAAAAAAAAAAACAATTAGCTGTTTGACCTTCGAGATGTTTTCATGATTATGACCCACGCGCATTACGTCCTCAGAGGCGTCTGATAGAGTCCAGAATTGCCAACACAAAATTTCTATATTTAACACCTACATTTGATCACTCTAGGTACGCTTCTAGTGAGAGGGTGTATAAAAATCTACCTGAATAATGAAATATAGGCATACAGCTCTATTGCATGCAGCTAGAAAACTGTTAAAACCCGGGGATTTTTTTTAAGACGTTAAGGCCCGGGTGGATTATCTTTCGAACGTGATCTTGGTTGTTTTTTTTCATGTTGATAATCTGAAATGATCTTCAATTGCTATTTAGTTTTACACAGCCCTGGAGTCTCCAAAAATTATGATTGTAGTCAATAAAACGTTGAAAAAAAGCTGAACATTTTCAATAGGGAGGAACTTGCAAACTAATAATTTGATGTATCTAATAGATGTTAGGTCGTTATTTGTACAGTAGTCAATGGCTGTCAGATCGTTAGTTACCATGATAAATTATCTATTTACTATTTCCTCTCTATCGGACTTATTTCTTAATCTTTATTGAAAAGTTTTTCTTTCTACTTTTTTCGATTGTACAATAATAATTTTAGGGACTCCTGCGTGATGTAAAATCCAATGGAAATTGTGATATATTTTACATTATGAAGATGAAAAAACAATCGAGATAACGTTCGAAAGATAATGCACCCGGGCCTTAATACATTCTATTCATCTTGTGAATTTTACTTATGTTTATTGAAAGATGCATTTATAATTCAGCAGTCTTTAATTTTCTTCAATTTAGGGAAAAATTGAACAGTATAGCGACCCGTAAAAATCGAAAAGTTGGCCGGCTTCAAAAATACCGAACAACAATCGATTTTCTTCAAGTATTTCACCACGTTAATGTGTTATCTTACTTTAACTCAGGCTTATATCTTTTTCGAATTGTTAGAAACGATCGAAAACATGGGGCGGGAGAAATATATGAGGTGTTCGAGGATAAAAAGTTGCATTTGATATTTGAAAAAAAAAAAAAAAACTCATCTATAAATATCATTCTATACATAGAATTTAAACATCTAATATTAGCAATCGGCCAAACGCCGGAAATACACAATCTCGGCAGCCAAAAATTTTCCCCTCGCTTTATCGCGTTTGTCTCCTACATTTCCTTTAAATGTCTATTACAACGTATCTGGAGATTTACAAAAAAATAATTGATTTTTTGAAAAAATTAATTTTTGTTTGTTTGTTTTTTTGTTCTCAACTGAGAATATTGTCGATGAAAATGTGTTCTATTTTTAGCGAATACAACTTGCGTATTATATATGACTCTTCAATCATTTACACATATTCATTAACCAACATGGGTTACATATCTTACAAATTATAATCTACCATTATTGGTTGTACCTCAACAAATATATAGAAAATATGTATGAAGATCCAAGCATGATTTTTAAACACGTGGTAGTTTGAAAATGAAAATAAACACGATCGCTTCTAGGCGCTCGCAAACGTATTTTTAGTAAGTGCAAATCTAAATCCATAACAAAGAGAGGCGAACTGCGAATAACCAACAATTCGCCAGTTATTCGATATAATGCATTATATATAAAAATACTAATAAGTAGAAATGCACAATTGAATTCTCTCACATTATAGCTATCCGAGTTTTCTGTATCACGTTGTTTAACAAGATGAAATTTTTGGAAAACCAGTAGTTGTGAAAGCAAAAGCAATTTTTTTTCGTTCAACTAGACGTAGAACCAAACAGGGCTCACCAAAAAATTCCATGGCTATGGTTTGAATTCCATGAGTTGGTGAATAGTGCACTAATTTTTGCTACAATTTTCTCTTCGTATATGAGTAGAAAACCTTACAAGCGATATGTGCGGGGGGTCGACTATCGTTCTAGTATTTCAACTGTGTATTCATGAACTACCAATTTTCCTCTTTTTTTCGTTTTTGTATTTACCCATGTTGAAGTATAATTGACCTTTTAGCTTTAGACTTGAGTGACTCATTTCACAAGGAAATAATAATAATAATAATAATAATAATAATAATAATAATAATAATAATGTTATTGTATATATGATTAAGTATGATGATTGATATGTTTGGAAATGCATAAAACCAAGCAAAATTAAATCGAGAAGGTAGCATTTTTAAATAATAATTTTTTTTGCGGCAGTTCATTAGCCTTATAAAGAACATTCTAAAACATTGATGAGGATAATATCGTGTTTCCATTGGGAGGTATGAAATTCAGTTCCAAGTTATTTTCATCCTCACGTAAGCCACTGGATGATTTAATATTCACTTAATTTCATTATCCTACCGACTTGTCTTTCACCTGTCTTTGTCTTCCCTCTATGTAATGGAAATTTGTGAATGCTTATTCTTCCAGAGATAGAGGGCCTACTTCAATACTCACGAATTATTTCCTCCATTGCTTAATTAATGTGCTATTTGCCCTGGGAAAAAAAAACATTACCTAGATAAGCTTTATTGTAATGACAAAATCTTCCGAGTCATAAGTTGATGTTCAGATTAAAGTTGGCATAATTACCGTAATTTCAATAATTCCCTGCTAATAATCAGATATTTCCATATTCATCTATTTGAATTTGTTTCAGAAGACCTAGGTTATCGGAATATTGAAATCACGTCAGCTTTCTCCCACCTGCCCCAAAAAGGTAAGTTTATTGATTTCAGAAAAAGACCTTTTTTTCAATTGGTTTAGGAGGTTGCCTCAGCCAAAAAAATTGGGCTTTTGTGAATTCATTAATGGTTACTTAATTTTCCTAATAATGATTGGTAACGAATGAAATTATTTTAATGATATAATCTTTCTTGGATAAATTTTGGAAAATGCACAATAACTACCACCAAGGACTACTGTCCTTGTGCAGCGTATTGGAGTGTATAAACAAAATAGAAATATCAATACAATTGCTAAATATGCAATTTCTCTGTAGCAGTTGCATATTGATAATTTGGAAAATTGGCTCTGAATTCTCAGTATAATCGATATTACGATGAATAGTAATATCTCAGATGATACTGTAAATAGGTATTACTCAGTTGCGCATGCGTAAAAGGTATTTTATCAATTGCAAAAGATTCTTACAACTGTTACTTGATTGAATTGGTATTGCATGATTTTCAATAAGAAATGCGCAAAAAAAATGTTATTTTTTTAACTTTTTCATATTCTATTTGTAGCACCTTTGTATATTATATTCTCCCTAAACTTACTAGAGAAAAAAACAAACAACCAAACAAATAATTGAAATATTACTATTCGTGCAATTTCACTATCTATACATATAATTATGATTGCATATTGCTAATTAAATTACTTGTATTTTCATTAATCAATTCCATGAAACACCTTATAAGTCTATTTAAGCAGGAAATTATTTACAATATGTTTAGAAATGGCGAGAGATACCCCTGGCTCACCAATGTCCCGACCGCGTGACCTTGTGACCAGTGGAGTTACCGCTACCCTAACTTCGGGTGCTTATCGCGCTTCAACCAATGATGCGCAAACTTTACATGGACATGCTTTACAGCAGAAGATACTTGAGGTAATGTAATGATGAATGGGCATATTATTATTGGTATTAGTTTGTTTTTGTTTTTTGTAATTAGTCAATGTATACAATAATGAGTATGCTCATAAGTGAATAAATTAATAATATCTAAGGTGAAATGAGTGAAAAAAAATTCTTTAGTCTGTTTGGCTAAATAACAAAGGGTGGAGAACAGTAACCTTAAGGTATCTGGGTTTGGTTCCAGCTACAGCAGCATCATCAACTTCAACAACAAATTTTGCGACAACAGTATCAAGCCCAAGAACGTCAGTTAGCAGAAATGCATGAACAACAGATGCACCAGTTGAAGGTACATCTCCACTGCTTAATAGACAAGTTGAATTATGGGAAAATTTGTAAACGTATGAACTCAAGAATTTGTGTAACATCACCATGATTTCTCACGTCTAATCAATTTATTCATATTTTAATTATGCTATCGATAGCTATGGGAACAACAGAAACAACTGGAAGAACAAATGAGAGAAAAAGAAAGAATTGAGGCGCTCAGAAAGAAAGATAAACACGATCACAGTGCTATTGCCTCCACGGAAGTTAAACAGCGGCTTCAGGTATGATAACTGAAGGGGAGGGCTAAATTCAGTAAAATTTAATTTCCAAATTTTCAATAATTGACATTATAAATTCATCCAAAACTGTATTTCTCTTCAAGAGTTTTCTCGTGAATAAAAAACAGAGAGAAGCTGCAGCCGCTGCTAATGGTGGAATGTCTGGAGCTCCAGGATATAAGAGTTGGTGTGTGAAATCATTATATAAATAGAAATTATAATCATGTGAAAAATTTAATTATCAGTAAGATGATTGATTTTTTTTTTCTTCTTAATTTGTAGGTTGCAATCTCAGTCAGAAGCAACTAGTACATCAAATACAACACATCCCTATCGCATGCCACAAATATTGCAGGAGAAATTTGGCGATGATTTTCCATTAAGAAAAACAGGTAACATAGAATTGGCTAAAATCAATACTTTATTGTGTGACAATTCTTTTTTTTTCTCCCTTCAAGAGTGGCTCATTCTTCTCGAGCATTGTTTCTCTGTTTCTTTGTGTCAGTCGAGTTGCCTACTAAAGCATGAAAATGGCGTCGTCATAACTTGTTGTTTCTAATCAAACCTGATCAATTAAAAATTTTCTATTATAGAAATACGATATATTTCTTATGTCAACTTATCCAATTATATATGCAGAAAAAAGTTTTGACGATGTGTTTATGCAGTGTGGATTTATACATCTTCACGTCAAGTCAAAATGAAGCTGGAAGGAAGAAAAAAAATTGATTGTATCTCAACCACATATGCACATGTCTTCATATTGACTAGACCTAAAGATTTTGTATTCGTTTGTATACGTTTTTTTTTATCTGGTATGATAACTAACCCCGGCTGAATTGGCCAGCCTCGGAGCCAAACCTGCTCAAGGTACGACTAAAGCAGCGCGTCATGGAGAGGAATATGGCAGCGGCGAGAAATTCACCGCTTACGGCCCGACGAAAGGATCGATTACTGTCGCATCTCAAACGGAAATCACTTTTAGCAAGTATGTTCCTCCTAAAAGTAATACATATATTTCTTTTAAAATTATCAAGTCAATACAAGTACATATCATAATTAAACTGGTACACGTTGAGATTTAAATTTGTGAAAAATTGCTTCATTAAATATTTATTACGGATTGATTATTCTTCAGTTCAAAGAACAATCAATGCAATGGTTAGATGAGTGTGAGAATGTGTTGTTGTTGTTGTTGTTGTTGTTGTTGCTGCTGCTGGTGATTTTTTAAAATTTACTTTTTTTTTGTGCCAAGTGAGTTTTCAATATTGAATTAATCTAGTCAGCATTGGTCAATATATATTTGTATAACTGCATGAAAATAATCGCTGTTACATTGTTCAAATTCCATCATCATATATTGATTTATTGATTTTGAAACTTTTCTTTATATCTACTATTTCTATTGTATGGAGAATGAATCTGAGGTTCATTTTTTTTCTTAATGATGAAAGGAAAGCAAATGGTCAATTTGTTTTTTTTTTCACTGTCAATGACTGTGTATACACATGCCAATGAAATGTACATATATTATTATATAAAATAAAATTTGATGATGATTGGTTGATAATTAGATTCCGTCAGTAATCCTGAGTCTGGACCTAATTCACCACCGACTGGTAATAACCCTCAGTCGAGTCCAACGGCTGGAAGCAATACACCGATACAAGAGGTATGGGAAAAAAGATTATTCCAATTTTACTATCACTACATTGAATAATAAATCCTATATTATTTGGCTATGTAATAGGAAAATGAAAATACTCAGTATGGAGGTCCATTAACAAGTAGCAGTCAACAAGGAAGTTTGTCCGATCTCTCGTTATTCAGCTCACCGTCGATGCCAAATATATCATTGGGTAGACCGCATGTACAATCTAATCCGTCTTCGGTAAATTTTACTGACAAATATGATAAAAAACTACAGTATTGTCAATAATCATCTTCTCTTTATATATAGTATTGAATAAATATTTTCAGAGTGGAACAAAATTGGCGCCTGTTTCGGAAGCTGAAGTTCGTGCTGCATTTACAGCACGCCTAGGAATGCCACTAACCGGTCAAATGTTACCAGGTACCCTACCATTTTATCCATCATTGACGGTGATAGAGGGCGAACCAGCATACATTCACAAACAAATGCAGAGCTTGGAGCAACAGGGCTCACGACAACATTTGGTTTATCATAGTACTCCTATAACCGATACCCAAGTAGCTCACGCCAGACTGCATAAGGCTGGTCACCGGCCTTTAGGTAGTATGTTCACTGACTTTGTCTTTCTCTTATTCTGTAATGACAAAAAAATCATCATTTATTCATTGAGAAGGAAAAAAACAATGAGAAAAAAAATTTTTGAAAATTTTCAGGTAGAACACAATCAGCCCCACTTCCATTGGGTCATCCAATGCTTCAAGGTAGTATAATGGCACCACCAACCCATTATGAAGAATATTTGACTGAAAAACAACTACACGAGCAGCAACAGGCACACAATTATCTCAAGCAGCAAATTCGTCAAACTGTACTTACTAGAGTTGGTTCTCGTACTGGTCAGGCAAACCAACTTGATGAAGCGGCAGAAAGTGAAGAATCCGAAGTGATTGATTTAACAGGAAAAAAAGAAATACAATCGGCGGAAGAGAGTGAAATATCGAAGCAGCAAAAGGATCGAGAACAATTCTTACAACAACAGAGGGACTTGATGATGCGTCATACACTTCAAATTAACGAGACATCAACTTATATGGGTAATCGTGGCAGTGGTGGTAGTAGTGGTAGTGGTAGTGTTAGTGCTAGTAGTGGTGGTGGTGGTGGTGGTGGTAGTGGTGGTGGCAGCAGTGGCAGTGGTGGTGGCGGCGGCGGCGGCGGCGTACATTTGGGCAGACCATTATCTAGAGCTTTATCCAGTCCTCTTGTGCATTTAGGTAACTACTCAAATTATTTAATAATATTATATTATAAAAATTTAATAATTGGGGTATGAAAAGGACCTCAGGTAGCCAGTGCGGAAGTCTTTAGCCATGGATCACCGCATCGTCCAACAACTGGTCTTGCTTATGATGCACTGATGCTTAAGCATGCCTGTGTTTGTGGAGAGACTGTCAGGGGACATCCGGAGCATGGTGGTAGGCTGCAAAGTGTCTGGGCGAGACTTTCTGAAACTGGTTTACTTCAACGATGTGATCGCATACGGTCTCGCAAAGCTACACTCGAAGAAATTCAGTCTTGCCACAGTGAAGCTCATGCACTTCTTTTTGGTAGTAACAACTTTTAACATTTTCATTAATTTCTTTTTTGTTTGTTGCGGTATAATACTTGGTGATTTATTTTCATCAATTGTTTAAATATTATAAATATTTTTTTACAGGTACAAATCCTCTGAATCGACAAAAATTGGACATGTCAAAGCTTTCTCAGTTACCGATTAAAAGTTTTGTGCGACTACCATGTGGTGGAGTTGGTGTTGATTCTGATACAACGTGGAACGAGTTGCATACAGCTCCTGCAGCACGAATGGCCGTTGGTTGTGTGGTTGATTTAGCTTTCAAGACTACCATGGGTGATATAAAAAATGGTTTTGCTGTTGTCAGGCCTCCAGGACATCATGCAGAAACAAATCAAGCAATGGGTTTTTGTTTTTTCAATTCTGTTGCTATTGCCGCCAAATTATTGCAGCAGAAATTGAATACCAGAAAAATTCTCATAGTTGATTGGGTAATTATGATGCTATGCATATTCAATTAATAAATGATTCTGTTGATTCATCATTTTGTCATATTAATTTATTTTAATTTTTCTATTCAATAGGATGTCCATCATGGAAATGGTACTCAACAAATGTTTTATGATGATCCACGTATTCTCTATCTGTCAATTCATCGACACGATGATGGAAACTTTTTCCCAGGAACTGGTGGATCAACAGAATGTGGTGTTGGCGATGGCCTTGGATATAATGTAAATATTTCATGGTCTGGTGGGTTAAATCCACCAATGGGTGATGCTGAATATCTTGCAGCTTTCCGCACAATTGTGATGCCAATTGGAAAGGAATTTAATCCAGACATTGTGATTGTATCGGCTGGTTTCGATGCAGCAATCGGCCATCCTGCTCCACTTGGTGGTTATCGAGTTAGTCCAGCTTGTTTTGGAAGAATGACACAACAATTACTTGAACTTGCTAATGGAAGAGTGGTACTTGCATTGGAGGGTGGTTATGATCTAGCTGCCATTTGTGATTCAGCGCAAGAGTGCGTACGTGCATTATTGGGTGATGAAATAACACCTATTAAAGAAGAAGAATTGACAAGAATACCATGTCAGAATGCTGTTGACACATTACAAAAAACTATTGCAATTCAAATGTCACATTGGCCATGTGTCAAATTGACTGCGCATATCGTTGCAACGAGTGCATTACAAGCAAGTCAAAAAGAACACGATGAAACTGATACAGTATCTGCCATGGCTTCATTGTCTATGCAACAACCAACAAATCTTACAAGTACTCCAGAACATTCCCGTCAAGTTTCTGAAGAACCAATGGATGAAGATGAAGCCAAATGAATTAAGAATAACCCAAGGCCCATCGATAACTTTGATGATTCAAATTACACTGGATGAAATTACCTATGCACACTGTTCACAATAATGTGCCCTGAATACATTAGATGAAAGAAAACAAAATTTATTATTATTATTATTATTATTATTATTATTATTATTATTATTATTATTATATGTATACATACATATATACGATGCCCTCCATTTTCGAAATGTCGACGGAATTGCCTGAATTTTTACGGCTGGGCCGTAAAGTTGCTGTAATTGAAAAAGGGAACGAAAATCATCTATTTGGAAACATGATTACAATTCCCGCATATATAGACATCAATTGTTTTTCAACTTTCAATAATGTACCTTTGATTACACCCCGTCTAAAAATCAGACATTTTCCCAATTTATAAATTACAAAACTTGATTCATCTTGTTATAATGATGATGGAAATTAGTGAAATATTTTGTCGAATTAAGAAGAACATTGGTATAAGAAATCACGATGGACGGCTAGGAGAAATCACTATTAATTTATGTTTTCGAAAATGTTTTATTTGAATAATTAATATTTTTCCACCACAACGAAGCTTTCCACAAGGAAATGCACTGTTAATGAACCGATCAACGAAAGTTTAGTATCTTTATTTTTTTTTTCACTATCAACATATTATTTCTATCTTTTGTAATTTCATAATTTTTGTCAAGTATCACTGGAGAATAGTATTAATTTTCAGCCTGTCGTATTTCATCCAGCTAGTTATCTTGAGTTGTATTCTACACTTTTAGGGCATTGATTGAACGTATACTCGTTAGAGACTTGACAATTGATAACCATAAATTTAATTTAACTAAAAGACACTAGTTGATGGATCTTTCGTTTATTTTTATTCTTGTATGAATATACATATGTCATTAAATCAATATAGGAATATTGGCATAAAAAAATTATTGTTGGCGATGTGCTGGTTACTCGCTTTGTATTTGTCAGATTTATTGTATATGTTCATCGCTAAACCTGGGGTTTAGGTAGCATGAATTAATTGCTGTTTTTTTTGCCCGGTAGTAATTATTATCACTGTCCTCTTGATGATATTGAGTAATTAATCGCATAATGTTGTGTATATCAATGATCGAATCCTTGTCGGCCAATGTAGTCACTGACAGCTAATCTGAATAATGAGGATAAAAATGACGAATAAAAAAAAAACAGTTTGTTTCAGCCATTCTGAATTCAATTTTTTTTCTTGTCCGTCGTTATTGCCATCATTGAAGATTATTGTGAAGCTGCATAAAACGGCAAAGATCCCGGCATAATTATTTATTATAATATCTTATCAAAGAAGATATTGCGAGTGTTTTACAAGTGCTGATATTGATATGCAGATTTCGTGATACATTTTAATGAGAAAAAATTTCATTTCCATTTATACACATTGGGTAAATCCCATTTATTTGGATAATTAATGGATTGAAAACTTTGAGAATAAGGATGACTTGTCGTTGCAGTGGATTCATAATAATTTCCGTATGACATCGTCTTAAGTTGATCCTCCTTGTAAAGGCTGGTCGAATTTTGTGATACCTACTTTGTATAAAAGAAAACAAAAAAAAAGTGAAAAAAATTCTAATTAAATTGTTGATATAATGTAACGTTAATAAACCGTCAAGAGCGACGCCAACTAATATAAATAATAAACATGGTAATCGAAAAATGAGCATTTATTTTTGTGTATTGCATTTTAGAAAATGACAAATGATATAAATGTTACAAAAAAAGGGAAGAATTTAAAGATTTTACGCCCATATACATTATGTGTCTCAATTTATATATACTGTATTTAAAAAAATAGGGATACATAATGGATACGATAGTATATTGAATGTTCATTACGAATGCAATTGTTCGTTATGTGAGAACAGTTTCATACTTACTAAAATATAAGAGTTGCAATCGCTTAAAAAGAGAAGAGCTGGGAATATTTTCTCATTTTTTCAATATCTTTTTATATATATATATATATATTCATATATATGTTGAGAATACAAATACTTGGACATAATTGGTGTTAGGTGCTCAAATGTACGCACCAGATTTCATTTGTACAAGCCAGCAATGAGGATTTTGAAGATTATTTTTCTCAAAATGAAAAAAAATTGATATGTTGTTTGGTTTTTGGGATTTTAATTTTTATTCCCGATAAAGATATTTTTGAAAAATTTCAAAATGAGAAAGATGTGAAGTATGCTCTTCTCTTCAATTAAAAAAAGCATTGTGTATTTAATATTGCCATTGAATAAAGAAAAGAAGAGAATGTACATCTAGACTCAGAGTTTTCAAAAAAAAAATGGAAAAATATATAATCCAGCAAGTGAAAATCATTATAAACAACCTGAATAACCGGCAGCAGTTGAATTGAATTATGATATATAAAAAGTACATGCAAATTATTGCAATGTTCTAATGTATTGTATTTTGATTATATTGCAATATTATCATAACTCACAATTTACATACCGCAATAGACATGTTTATATCAGAAAGGAGGGAGAGAAATTGAGAAAAGGAACAATAATGACAAGCTCCAGATCGATTGTGGCCATTGAAACATGATACAACGTAATGGGATGTGGGTGATTTCTCGCAAGATGATTTTTTTTTTTTTTTTTCAACCTGGAGCATTAGAACTGTCCCCCAATATTTTTATTATATATCTAAATACCAATACCAAGGCTTGATACACGAATGCTAACTGGTAAATTTGAGATTTGATGACCACCATCATAATTCAAATGGTGGACTAGCAAAATTCAATGATTTCATGCCTGTACCAAGTTCATAGCAAATTCGGATGAAAACTTACTCATCTAAACTATCACTCCTAATTTATTTTTTATTACCTAATTTTTTTCCTCTTCTGCGCTTACATTGCATTTTTTCACCATAAAGTAATAAAACATTTTGAATGAAGGAAAATGACAATTTGTGAAAAATCACTCATATCACGATAATATAACTATACGCCAACATATAGAATGTATGTCCATATATACATTCTAGGCTGTGTGTTTTGATATGTCCTAAATTGCTAGGCCTATGATTCATAATTCTTTTCTTCATGAACAGGAATTCATATTTCCTTATTTATGTAATGAATAAATGTTCGTCGTTACATTTCACCGGTGTAAGACATTCTGTAAAATGTATAACTCTTAATGTCGATAAGAAATGAATGATGAAGGTCGAGCTGATAACATTCCTATATATTTCATAAAAGTACTACATATTATTATATGGTATCACCATACACATAATAGAATTATAATATAGGTTCTAAAAATGGATATGAAATTGCTAATTAATAGAGTAACGTCTACGCTATGTTGAATATCACTATTATTATTATTATTATTATTATTATTATNATCATCATTATTATTATTATTATTATTATTATTATTATTATTATTATTATTATCATCTTCATCATCATCATCATCATCATCATCATCATCATTGTGACAACACATTTTTTATGTATATAAATGTATTTCTTTAATCAACTTGCAATAAAAAAATATAATCATTGTGTTGAAGAAATATTGAATAATGTAGAAAAATCGCCCGGTTATTTATTATTAGTAATGCGGTAGATGAGCCCATATACCCATCCTCTTTGCTTATATCAGGAATGTGTATCCATTTTTTTAAAGCTGTCATGGACAGATTTATTAGATAACAAGCGAAACTCATGGTTGGAAAATCCAGGGATCACCTCTCTCCATGGAATAAATGTAATGTGGAAATTATTTGATTCACAAATATCTCGTATGTTATATGTAGTTGTTGTATCGATAGCACAGAGCAGGTTGTTGTAGTCACTCGTCAACGTTATACTTTTCAAATTTTCCAACTCCTCTTAGGTATATAAGAGGTAGTGATGGCGCGTGCAAAAGATACCATAAAAATGTGCTAATGAAATATAGTAGAGGAAAGACGTAATGTACACACTAATAACATTATACTGCAAGTTGATTGTAGGTTTCTTCTGGGAAAGCAGAAGAGACTGGCCTCCTCTGCCTCGGACATGTCATCAACTCATAATGGTAGGATTTTCAAAAAAATCGTAGTAGTGTTGTTAAAGTGATTATTTCAAATATGTATTATAATAATTGAAAATTTATAATATTTAAGGTGACAGAATTCATAAAACAAAGTCTCATTGTGGTGTATTGCTCTATAATTGTTGTACATTGTGATATTATAAGAAACGAGGATATATGTGGTCATCATAATGGACGTCGTTTGTATTTGGAGCTTGGTGAACAGGGCTTGCTGTATGCCAAAAATATGTCATTCATAAGAAGTTCCCTTAAACAACAAACAACCACAGCAGAATTGCGACAGTACATGACAAATAATTCTCACGATCAATGCAGTTTAGAGCTAGTTACTTGTCCATCGTGTGCAATAGTTTTAACATTCAAAAGCATGAATTTACCTCATTCCTGTAGTGATATTGGCATCGCAATGGACAGTCCTTGCAGGTGAGGATTTATTCCATTGTCATCGAGAAATGTTCTTTATTATATCCATTATTCATACTTATTATAATTGGTGGAATAGATGTGATTACGTATGGATATCAGAACCACCTTACGATGATATATCTGGGACATCTTTCTGTGGCCTTTATACTCCCATTGTGTACAGGTCCAGCACGAGAACTGTATCTATTACATTCCTTTATTCTCAATCCCATAAAAATGCATTCATACTTGAATATCTAGCAGAAAGTAAGTCCTATAATTATTGTGTATATTTGTTGTTGTTGTTGTTGTTTTTTTAATTTAAAATTTTTATTGTATTTTCTTCAAGGAAATCGAGTTCATTTGAAGGGTTCAGATAATAAAATTTCTAAAAGTAATAATGAAACCATAGGCGGCATCTTGACGTCGCCTTTTTTCCCGGCAAGATATCCAAGGGATTTGGGTTTGGAATATGTAATTACGTGCCCATCTCAGTCTCCTTCGTGTAAAGTTCGAGTGCTCTTTAGTGACTTTCAATTAGCAACAGTCTCTATTATTGAGGTGAAATTATGATATGATATTTATATTTATATTTATATCATCGATTGACTTATACCTATATGGAATTGAGACTTTTCTTTTATATACAGTTTTATGATTGGAATGGGCAGCGTTTGGATGTGAGCAGTGGTGCTAGATTTAGACCACCAATAATTGTTAGCTCTGGGCCATCATTATTAATCAGGTTTTATGCTAATGGTGGTACTGGCCTGGGTTACAAGGCATTTTATTCATATGTCATCGGTCATTTATATGAGAATTCGGTACAACCGATAACAGATTGTGGTGGTTATGTAGAGAATCTTGGTGGTACCATTACTATGATGGATATGGTTAATCAAGGAATAAAGACATATGACTGTGTATGGCTTATTCGCCCACCAAAGAACTTTTTGCATATGAAGACACACATGTACATTAAAGTCATCACCTTTGCCAATATGGGTGAGTTATATTATATTCACCTGATGATTTTCATCATTACCCGCCACGAAATGATGAAGCGCCGGTATTCATTATTATTATTATTATTATTATTATTATTATTATTTAGCTGGCAATACTGAATTAATTATCAGACAAGGGCCTACATCGGCTCTATTACCCCTGGAGATATTACGACATCCTGCCGGCCAAGTTCAATTATCAAGAATGAGGGAACATATTGCACCAATTACTAATGGATTTCATGTTAGTCTTCGGGGTGCATTCAGTGCAACATCCAGAGTCGCAATTGCTTATGCTGCATTTGGATACATGGGTAAATTTTTAGTGAATCTCTTCATTCGACCTGTTAGAGACCACTTTCACCCATATATCAATAACTCTATATTTTCACACTTTAGATTGTTATTCGAGCTCGGATTTTTTATGCCACAACCATCGATGTATTCCAAGCCAATTGAATTGTGATGGATTTGATCATTGTGGAGATAATAGTGATGAACCTGCCACGTGTTTTAGAAGTAAATTAATTTGTTTCAGTAAAAATTTTATATACACGTATATATCTCTGTCTCATCACTTTCCATATATTCAACTGAATGCTTAAATATTAAAATTTCGAATTAGCTTGGCAGGAGGAACCTCAAGATAGAAAGTGGCATATCAATAAGGCGAATTATTATTTTCCAAAGATCGATCGCTATCCAGATTTAAAAACAGCGACACTTGTATTCGTTGCAAGCAGTTTAGGTCTCATCATACTCATATCTGCGCTAATAATCCTTTTGTATCGAATGGGGGCTCGAGCGCGTCAACAAAGAGAACTTCAATCACGATTGCAAACGATTAGCGAACTTTTAGGTATTTTATTATTACCATTATTATTATTATTATTATTATTATTATTATTATTATTATTATTATTATTATTATTATTATTATTATTATTATTATTATTATTATTATTATTATTATTATTATTATTATTATTATTATTATTATTATTATTATTATTATTATTATTATTATTATTATTATTATTATTATTATTATTATTATTATTATTATTATTATTATTATTATTATTATTATTATTATTATTATTATTATTATTATTATTATTATTATTATTATTATTATTATTATTATTATTATTATTATTATTATTATTATTATTATTATTATTATTATTATTATTATTATTATTATTATTATTATTATTATTATTATTATTATTATTATTATTATTATTATTATTATTATTATTATTATTATTATTATTATTATTATTATTATTATTATTATTATTATTATTATTATTATTATTATTATTATTATTATTATTATTATTATTATTATTATTATTATTATTATTATTATTATTATTATTATTATTATTATTATTATTATTATTAGTATTAGTATTCCAATTTCTTCAAAATGATTCTCAACTGTAGTAGCGCAATTATCAAAAGTTTGTGTTGCTTCGCTTGTTTTGGGCGGTTTTTGAGGTCAAGTCGGGAATCCCTCTAGTATCACTCAGCCATCTCTTTCAAAAGTTGAAAAAATAAAATAAAAATGATAATGATAATAATAGTATAGTGGTAAATGAATGGTCCATATGTAGTTTTGCAATACTGTCTCACTGTTAGATTGGATAGTTTTTGATATTTCAGATAGCGCTAGAATTGATGAAATATCAGTAAATGATGATCCACCAATGTATGAGGCTCCCCCTGGCTATGATGAGGTTGTGAAAGTTGGTCTTGAGAATGAAATATCAAGGAGAAAAAGAGTTAAAAGGAAGAAGGAACGTCGAGAACCTAGGAGCCGAAGTTCACCAAATCAGCGATCGTGAGTTGTTGTTGATTTTTATTCGAGCTTATTCAACCCCGTATTCATCTGACTGGAAAAAAAATATGATAGGCGGAATAAAAAATAGACATGCATGTTGGGAATATTCATATTGAATGAGAGATTTGTATAGATTTTTTTAAATATGTTTTACGTTGTTCATGGGCAGAATCAGTTTAAACGGAAACATTGAAACAACTACGCCAATCGTAACAAATAATGTTCAACGGGTTCCTGACAGTCCACCACCACCATATGTCACTCCACCCGGGACGTTATCGAAAAATTCAATACTATCAAGGAATAATGTTCTCCGTGAGTTTTTACTTGAAGCAAATAGTTTTTAAAATATTTTACTCATTTATTTATAAAAAAAAAAAATATTTCCATTAAAGATATCTCTGTACCAGTGAGTTTTCGTGGTAATCGTTCACGTCGAGTTTGGCAACGGCAGAGTTCACTTCCAGGCCCAGATGAATCAACCAGTATTCAACCATCAATCGCCGCATCCATTGATGCTGAGGCTGTTGGTGTGTATATAAGGAAATACAGTACAAATATGAAAGTTGAAGCTTGTTCTTCACAGCCGAATTCGAGCGTTGCTGGGAAAAATACGAATTACGTATATACCGAAAACTCGGCAGGACTAGACGAAGAAGAAATCATTGATAAGAATAATCATCAACAACATTTGACTTGCTCATGTGATGGTGCTTGCGGTTGTGCGAATCAGCCTGGTGTTTCTAAATCTAGTCAACGAGAACGATATGATGGATACTGCTCCAAGACAGATAACATTTCAACAATACTTGGCACTGGGAAACCGAATGCACACAATAACAATTTCACATCGAAACCTATCATAAATGGACCGTTGATATCATTAACAAAAAATGAATGTCGGATTAGAACAACTTCAACATGTTCTAAAGACAGTTACCTTACTCAATTATCCTTCATTAGTCCTTGTCGTAGTTTAGATGGAGGACTGATGAGTGAATTTGAAATTATTTCAGCGGATGACGCTAGTATATTGAGCAATACAAATGATAGTACCCTATTTAATGCGCCTGTTAATACACCAAAAATAATGCCTCATGTTATTGCATGTCAAAATAATTATCGGAAAAATCGCCATTACAGCAAATGTGATATTGAAAGTTTGTATGAAAATATTAAAATATTGGATACATTCTTAGCAAGGCAAAATAATAACACTGCTACTAACTTGGTAGGAGCCGTCCAAACGACTGCTCCTCTTTTTACTACTCCCAGATATTATACTACAAGACCGGAGCGTTTTAATTATCAAACTAATTTTTTCAATCGTATACGCGGTTGGAGATCCAGCGATGATGCATTTACAAAATGACATTGATGAATGTAGGTAGTTTTAGGAATTGTTCCAATAATGGCAACATTTTTTATTGGTATAATGCTGTGAACATTTGGATAATTTTCTTTATTGTTTGTCGAATTTATTTCCCATTATTATTTTGTTGAAATGCAATAGTGAAAATTAATACTCCTCGTGCGATGAAAAAAAAAATGTAAACATTCTAAATAAAAGGATTCGGATCGTTGACCTTCATTCTCTATTATCAATTTGAAATTCAAGTTTTCAATTTTCATCGATTAGACGGAAAGACATGTGTTTTCGAAAGAATCACTGATTGCAACATCAGAGTGATGTCGCTTGTGTATCCACTAAATCGATAGTTTTTTCTTCCATCCAATTTCTTCATATATTTTCCATGTTGTATTGGTGAATATTATATCAGACAGGTAGTCTAATCGGCCTTCACCGAATTTCTAGATGTAAAAGGAAAGAGAGAGATTTTGAGCCAACAAAAAGCGCTCATTGTTTTTCATTAATAGTTTGCCAATTGTTTCATTTAATTGAATTCACATAATAATCTTCATATATATTCACACAAATGACTAAGTTACTTTCATCTTATATATATAAGATGGTATATATATATATATATATATATACCTATAAAGTGAATTTAAATTGAAATTTCCAATTTGAAATAGGATGATTCATCTTTGTGGTATACTTTCGAGTATACATGGATGTTACATTGTTTTTATAATTTGCAAGATATATATATATATATAAATTTTCTGGGTAATTTGGTAATGGTCATCTAACTGGTCATCTTCCGGGTTTGGACCGTAGTGATAGATGTTGCGTCAACAGAAGAGTTTCAATGGGTGCCTAAAGGTCAGTCATACATAAATTTTGGCAGAATCCCCTCTTCAGATGGAACGTAATATTCTGTACTGTTTTTGGATACCCAAGGAGAAAATGGTCTGGTCCGCCGCTGTATATAAATAGACGGAGCGGGTATCTCACAATCCAATCACATCAGAAGTTCTCTTCGTATAGGACAACTGAAATATACAAAACGTGTGTTATCTCAAAAGCTCAAAAAAAAATCATGAAGTTCCTCGTAAGTTGATCTTATTTTTACTCTTTTCATCTTCATTAAATATGTCATAATATAAAGAATGAGTGAGCATTATTTTTATTAATAATTCATTATGAAAAAGAAAAAAAAAGTAAAAAAAAATCGGACGGAATGAAGGAAATAATTATGTTTTTAGGTAATTTTACTAGCTGTTCTCGCCGTTGCGTTTGCTCAGCAGGAAACGATTGCTATAATCCGCCAGTCTCAAGACGTATCGCCTGATGGTTCCTACAATTACAACTACGAAACTGCGAACGGAATCAAAGCCTCCGAAGAGGGTCATCCAGGGCCTGTGAATGAAGAGGGTGCACCGGCAGTTGTGGCCCAAGGACAATTCGAGTACAGTGCTCCTGATGGTACACCTATTGCAGTCACGTATACTGCCAACGAAAATGGTTTTCAACCACAGGGAGCTCACCTCCCTGTCGCACCTCCAGTGCCAGAACAAATTGCTCGGGCCCTTGAGTACATACTCGCTAATCAACGCTGATCAACTCCGTTACCAATACTGATATTTCAATGTCTTACAACGTTAATAAATTCTTCTGTACCAAAAATTAAATTATCCTCCGTCTTTCCAACTTCATTATTTACAACTAATGGGATATATCTTTGTCTCGTCTGTTTTCCATCAGATCTGTTTCAGACAGAGGTTCATAATTGTTCCTGCTCATATACTCATATGAGAGAGATTCGAACAAATAGGAACGTTCACCGCACATCATCCCATATAACAAACATCTGAAATCCGTCGGTAACAGATCCTTAATATTTTTTTTGCAAGATCTCAGTCCTATTTTCATTTTTTACTGAGAAACAAATTATTTATAATTCTATATTATTCTAGAAGAACTTGGATATCATAGGTAAATAACAGGCAGTAGAAATTGAAGGAATCCAAAAGCCATTATTGAATTTTTAAACGATGAGGGAACATAATACATATGAGCAGGCGATATTCAATAAATTCTTAACGCCTGACGCACATTATTTCGCATTAAAAATCGGCTCAGTTAAACAAAGTATGGTATTCAGTGAATAAAACATTATTAACTCAGCATCACAGAATTACTCAAGAAAGTGAGACCGAGATGATAATGCGTCGCGACGCCCACGGTACATCACAGGGGATTTGAATATCAAGAACGTATCTTCAATAGGTCAAATTGTGAAAAGATGGGAAAATAAAATTTCCAACCAGCCAAGAGAATATATGTGGCGGCCTATATTCTCTTTAAATTATTATAGTTATAATTACACGGCCCAATCAATTTATTACTGTGATCGACTCGTGGACTTGATAGCCAATTACGTAAAGATTACGTGAATATAAAGATGTAGGTATACAACATTAAGCAGAATACCTCAAGCCCATTTCTTGAATCGTCATACTAAATTGGGAGTCTCATGAGCTATTATTTTTGCACTTTCTTTTTTCTCCTCAATCTCAATTTATATCTATATAATATTTTGTCTTTTAAGGTAGGCAAAAAAAAAGACTAAACAATGCATAGACTATTGATAAATTCAGGGTTCCGAGGGAGGTTGCCGTGTAGTGTATTGGCTAATAGTCAGGCATAACTGGGAGGTTACACCTTGCAAGTCTCTGGCTTTCACACTAACCCCGCCTCATCATCATAATCATCCACATGCAACAGGAATATTGACTAGAATTGTGAAGAGGGGTTTTTAATGTCAAGGCATATACGATTCTCTTCTGGACCAATGCTATAACGTAACACCTTTTGTTGTTCCTAGGTGCTACGTAAAATTGGGTTGAATGACGTGAACCGTGAATCAAATTCACCGTTCACCCAAGCCGAACATACAAATTGCGAACAGTCAAGAACACGAAGAAAAACAGCTCATGTTACCACGGTGATTTATTTTCTAAATAGTTAATTATGAAATGAAGTAAAAATTAAGATTGAAGGCTAAAAATGTGGAATGGATAGGCAATGAGCCCAGAGCCACAGAAACGATCACATGCCTGACTACACTGATTAATTTAGTCTTCAGCATTTATTATTTTTCATTTCGATTGCTAATCTCTAATCTACTGTCCTCATTTTAATATTCAATACTGGACATTTTTCCCTTCAAAATAGTTGAATTTTTTGCAATTTAATTATCAATTTATGTTTACAAATATTCAACCATATTAATATATAGACGAATCTTTTTAAAACCTTCAATCAAATTTTATCTCATTTTTAATTTGTTAAAATTTCAATGTCAACTTTTTTTTTATCAAGTTATAAATCCGCCACTAATGTTTCAAGAAAAGGTGTCATTGCTCCAGTTAAACTAATAAATCCTTCTTCCCGTATCATTTATTCGGGTTTAATATATATATATATATATATATATATTAATAATCTTAGGAAGATGATTTTAAATTGTTACATAGCTATGTCGTAACAATAACCAAAGGCAGTATAATAGCTTTTGTAGTGAAAGGAACACTCCCTTTGAGGATCCGTAACCGATCTAAATTATGTGACGTGCCGATTGAAATGAATGGACCACAACACACATCTGAATATCCAATAAGTAAATGTAAATGTATGCACCATACTTTGATACTACTATGTTGCATTTACAAAAGTGTGTATACAACATTTGATTTCATCTACATCGTTATATCCCCCACCATTGTTTCACATTATTGAGCCTCAAGAAGGAAGAAGCGGCGTAGGGAGTAACCGAGCCGGTATAAATTCACTAAGAAAACGGTACACAGGGTTATTCCATTCCCGGTGGAAATAAAGTTTTTCTCGTGCTATCTTTCACTCTTTCTCCTTCTTCCTTATAATTTCTTGTTGTTACTAATTTTTTTCTTTGCCTAGTTCGTTAAATATGAAGATTTTTGTGAGTGTATAAACAATAGTTGTCACTTGATTTTATACCGTTTTGTTTAATTTATTCATTCACTTTTTTCATTTCTTATATATCCTTTTTTACGAAATTAAATTCATTCTTCTCTATAGATGGTATTTTTCGGTCTGGTGATGATGGTTCACGCACAATTGAAATATCCTCAATATAATCCTGATTACTATGGTCGACGGTTTGCAATTTTACGCCAAAGCCATGATCAAGATTTTGGCGGTTCATACGCTTTCAGGTAAATGACACCTAGGAACAATTAATATGATCAATCCATTGGATTCATAGTATATTCATGTGTGCATCAATAAATCAATTGATTGTTTCATTTTTTTTTTTCATGTAAACATTAGAAGCATTTGATGAATTGTTTGTCAATGCATAGGTGCGATTGATCAAGTGATGAATGTTCTGTATACTGTATACAGAATGATGTATGACATGTGTGAAACATGTACATGTAAATTATAATTTGTAGTTGGATGTAGGAAAATTTTAATTGGCATATTATCAAACTCATTGAGAAGCTAACTAATACTAGTTGATCAATCACTTATTTTTCCATCATCATAATAGTATTGCATAACCAAACAATTACTACATACGACTACAGAAAAGTATTTTTATTTTGCACCTTCTCATTATACTCCGCCCCCTTAAGTTATCTTGTTATTCCACCAGTTAAGGTTTTTTCTTCTTTTTCTTATTCATCGCCGTGTGAAAAAGTTTGAACAATAGATGGGATAAGAAAAACAATATAAAAAATGTATTATTTAAATTGTGTTTAAGTTACGACACCGAGAATGGTATATCAGTAGCGGAACAAGGACAACCAAAGAATCTTGGTGCTGCAGGACAGGCGGAAGTAGTTCGAGGACAATATAGCTACACAGCGCCTGATGGGACACCAATCTTGGTTACCTATCAAGCTGATGAAAATGGTTTCCAAGCGAATGGCGCCCACTTACCAACTCCGCCACCAATTCCACCTGCAATTGAACGAGCCTTGGCATATAATGCAGCCCACCCTGAACAAGAGGAACCATACAATAGAAGATACTATGGGCAAGGAAAATAAATGACGGGGCAACGAAAGTGATGAATGAATGAATAGAGAGAAAAAATGAAGAATAATAATAATAAACTATACCGCAAAGCCTAATATGAGATACACAGTCCTTTCAATATCGGCTTCTATACAATAATGAATGGACAAATGAAAATATTATTGATCGGATAAATGACGATGAGCCATTTATTATTTGCTTATTTGTTTTTATTCATTTGAATTAACCACAAGACTTGTTCATTTCTATAAATGTGCTTTCAATAAACTTCAATTTGTCTTTACATGCTCCAATAGAAATTGTTTGGTGTTTTGGATATTTCATTTTCAAAAAATTATTTTTCACCTGGCTCAAAGGTCAGATTTTGGATTTTGTCAGAGGGAAAGTAGACTTTCGTCAAAATCGAATTTGTTCGTGAAAATGGCAGGTCCCGGTCATCTACCTCTGGTCAACCATATAATCAAATGTTTGTACCAAAGATTTCAAATTCACAAATTGGCAACCTAGTTCCAAATTGGTAAAAACGGTGGTGAACCATTGGGAACTAATGGCACTGTGTTGAATTGTCCTTGTGTTGTTTAGTCATGGAATCGATCTGGTGGCTTCATGCATGTTTCAACTGGACAACTTATTGTCCAGGAGGTTGTCTAGGAGTCTCCCCCGGTTGGGAAAGCCCCCTTAAAATCATTTGCACTATACTTTAGTACAACTTCTGAAATACAAGTTGGAGGGTCCACGATCTCCCATATATCCACGGTAAAAATTACCTTGAATCCACGGGAAAACGTCCCGTATATTCACGGTCAAAGTTACCGTGGAATGTGTGGAGAATATTCGTTTATGTATACATATATGTATATGCGTTTACGGGAGGAAGAGGTTCACTCGGATCGCTCAACGCACAGCTGATCCCACCCCTTCGACACAAACAAGTTGAGACAAACAAGTTCTCCCCCGCCAAAGGCGTTTTTTTGCTGTTTAATATCGATATTAAGAAAATGAAGTGTTATAATCCTCATAGACATCATGCAATAGTTAATCAACGAATGACAATTAATAAATCAGAGTTTATTATCTTATACTATTGTAAATCCAAGACGTATATATGTATATTTATAATATAGAAGTAGGTACCTAATTCAAAATATAACAACTGCGCAACTCCTCTGCGCACATTCATCATGGCGGCCGGCCACTGGCAGAGGATGGAGGTTTTGGCGTTCGTCCACGGATTTTCGGTGAGAAAAGGGATTAAACCAGGAAAATACTTATTAATCGTGCAATAATCAGGTAATATTTAGTGCCGGGAATGATTTTATCAAGAAATCAGCCTTTATTAGTGCATATTATTAAGCCCAGATCTGTAAAAAGTGCAATGCTAAATTTCGCCATTGCGCAACTCCTCCGCGCACATTCATCATGGCGGCTGG